TTGTTATCGTTTTTGCTTGTTACCAAAATAGTGTTTTTCAGTGTCTTGCTTTAATATTTTGGGAACTTCAATAATTATGAGTGAAGGAAAGGAAACTCCGCCGGCAGAGGTATGTTCTATTATTAGCATATACAAAAAGCCGGGTTCATGTTGCTTTTGTATAATCAATGGCAAAATTTAAATAGATTTTTCCGTCTATTTGTTGATATGATGTGTACTGAACCTTGTCCGATAAAATACGTAAAAAATTTCTTTTCTTACAGCCTGCCAATCCAAAAATCAAACATGATTGGTACCAGACTGATTCCCAAGTAATCATAACAGTTCTCCTTAAGAATGCTCCGAATGAAAAAGTAAAAGTTCACTATGGAGATCGTAGCGTAAGTGTTATCTTATTATTTAAAGTTTAAAGAAGAGTATAATGTTTTCGGGAAGAATAATTGTTAATAGTTCTCATAAGGGAATGAGAATTCTTTGCAATCACACCCTTTCTACTATTTTTCTTGCCTATCAACTTAATAATTGGAATGTCACACAGTGTTTGATTTCTTAGCAATTGAGGAGGCTACTTGCCAATTTGTCACCTTATATTATAAAAAAATCGACATAAATTTATAAATCTAAATAGGAACAAATGTTTCACAGGTATCTATATCAAGTGCCATTCCTAACTCAGAATCAGAGTACAGCCTGGAACTTGAACTGGCACATGAGATTGTACCTGCCATGTGCACATATGTGGTTACACCCTCAAAGATAGAAGTCAAACTGCGCAAGAAGGAGGGTATCCGTTGGACCCAGCTTGAAGGTGAAGGGGAAGAGGAGAAGATTAAAGCTATTCCACAAGGTATGTATGATCCCTGATTTACAGTGATATCTTTGTATTTAAACTGTTGAATGGGCAATTTAGTGACAATAAGACGGGGTTTTCACTGCAGGAGGACATTGTTTAAATGGTCTATAGAATTAATTACAACTGTATGAATATAATATAACTTTTTCCCCAGCTGTTCTTGATGCCTCTGGACCACAGCAACCACCCAAGCTCTTTAGAAAAGATTGGGACAAAATTGAACGGGATATTAAGAAGATGGTATGTTTTCACAAATCAAATAATATTGATTTATTCAAATATTCAAGTAGAGTTCATCTTATCATTTAACACATTTCACACTGTTACAATTTTTAGCTTATAAAGTAATGAAGTAAAGTTTGTGATACTAAGTGGATAAAAAAAAAAAATTGTTAAGTGTTTTTTGTAATTGTTATTTATAGGAAGAAGAAGAAAAAGAGGAAGGTGATGCGGCTCTGAACTCAATGTTCCAGAAGATATATGGTGAAGGTTCTGATGAAGTTCGCCGAGCTATGAACAAGAGCTATGTATGTATAATTATTATAGAAAAATGTTTTATTTTTTTGCCCTGGATTCCTTTATTATTACTTTATTTTATTTTAGGTGGAATCTGGTGGTACAGTGCTGAGCACAAACTGGAACCAGGTGTCAAAGGAGAAGGTTGAGGTGAAGCCACCCGATGGACTGGAATTCAAAAAATGGGAGTAAATTTATAATGTACCATGAACTATTCAAGAGATAAATCCTTGTCACAGTAAGTGGTAACTGCCAAATATCTCACTATTAGATTTAGTCATTTCATTGTCTATCTGTGTGTCCTATAATCAATCATTGATTCATTTATATACACATGACTAGATTTTTTTTACAATATACTATATTGTGTATCTGATTCTAGATTTTGCTTAACATCTAATTACATAAAGTAAACTCATAAATGGATAACATTCAAAAGTAAAATATTATTATTTTTATTGATTCAATTTCTCATTTGTTTTATGTTGAGAAGGATATCTTTATTTTATTTGATAGAAAAACTGGAGTGATTTTAATAAACAGTTTTATATTTTTGTTAATTTAGTTAAGTTTTAAATACATAAAAATAATTTAAATGTCACAATTTTGCAAAATAACTTTTTTTAAAAAATAACTAGATAGTGAAATATTTTGGCAATTCTATTGAGTTAATTTGCCATAAATCTTACATGTGCATTCAATTTTATTTTGCAAAACTTGAGATTGCTTGAAACAGTACTGAGGTTTGTGCGACTTTCTTCTGCCTTTTAATTGCGTTGTTAATTTGCTAATCGAGTGAATTATTATTACATAGTAATAAGTATGTAGGAATGTTTATTGAAAGGTGAGTATAGCCTAGAGCATTTACCTGTAACATAACGAGTCACTATATTTTCTAATGTATCACCCTTTTACGAACCATACATGTTTTGGAAACTGCTTTTACCTATATTATAAAATTCATTAGATAATGCTCTAGTGTATATTCACCTCTAGAATTATTGTAATAAGACTGCAAGTCGTATATAATTGTAATAAATAACTGTATACCATAAATTGTTTTATTTGTACCAAACTTTCAGCGGTCAAAATAAAACCAAGCATGTAAATATTTATTTTTACTGACTAAAAATAATAGCAAGTTACAAAAAAATAAGTTAGGAATTGAGATCATAGTTTTATACAGAATTTTTATTTTGTTAATTCATTAATCATTTTATTGCAACAATAAAATTAAGGTACAGTCAGCGTCATATAGATCGTCACAGACAAGATATGCAAATATATAGGTACATCAAAAGTAATCAATTATATCGGTACAACAAAAGTCCTCAAAATAATAGATACATTCACTCTGCTCAAAAACATCGGTACATACACAGCGTCAAATATATGAGTACATGCAAGATGCTCATAAATATCGTAGCAGCCACAGCGTCATAAGTAACGAAGCAGTCAAGGTGCGCAAAAATATCGGTACATTTGACAAAATTGAACTCTATCTCTATATACTTGTGATACAATTTGAAATAAACTACTTCTGTTACATTCATTTGACACTTTGCATCAAACCATTTTTCAAAATTTACTAAAAGTGTTCGACGCGGATGACAGATATTAGGTAGATAAAACCAACATCAAATTTAAGTTTGTCATCATATATGCTATTTTGGTCTCGTGGCCTTACCCTTCGCCGCCGTTGGTACGTAAGGTCGGCGGTTCAAATCCCAAGCCACTATTTTTTTTTCATATTTAAACTTTTTAATTTTAATATCGAAGCACTTGTAATTCAACTTTATCGCCGTAGTTGTTAGGTACTTTTTGATATTGCTTTGGACTAATGAGTTTGACCGTTAAAGTACTTTTCTATTTCAAACAAAAATGAAGGAGATAAAGCGATGCTATTGGCATGTAATTTGTTTATTACTCATGTTTGTTAAACTTGTACCGGTAAAAATAACACTTTTACTTTTACCTTTTACTGATACTGATTATATTTAAGAAACAAAGAAAAAAAACTGAATGTCAATATCCAAACTACATCAAATTTTTGGTCGATTGCAATAAACATTCCAGTGTGCGTGGGCGCGCACATATATGTAGATAACACTTGTACGTATAGTTTCCGCGCGTACCATTCTTAAAACCCGCAAAGACAATACACGCTCCGCCCATTCACTTCACCCGCGATGGTCTGACATAATTGTTGTTAACTTTATTTAAATTTCTTTCTACCCAACAGCGAAAATTATAAAAAAAAATTGTCGAGCAAAATTTTACATTACCAAATTTTTACTGGTTATGAAAAAATAACCCCGTGATTGATAAAATGAAACAAAAGTAGCCTGAGATTCGAACCGGTAAACTTACATATTACGGCAAACATACTAGAATACTGCGCCAAACTAGTATTATATATATTGTGACAAGGCAAAATTTGATATTAGTTAATACGTATCTGTCATATTCGGCGTGACAATCTTTTATATTTAAGCGTTATGACAGGAGAAGAAA